TATCGGTGGAGGGCTTTAGGTCACGGTCCACACTCCCGCCCTCCCGACCCCTCCACACCCCTACAGCGGCACCCCTACCCCTCCCGCCGTTTTAGGGCCTCCTGACCCGCACTCGCAGCGGCGACACCTCGGGCCAGAAGCGCGAGCCCTAGGCTGGTGAGGGGGCCCGCTCATGCGTAAACGGCTCTGGGACTTAGCTAAATCGCGCATCGAAATCGGGACGATTTTGCCCGGGCACCGTCACAAGGTGCAGGTCCGGGGTGAGGGCCGGCCTTCATATCTGCCTTATTTTGATAACTGCGCCTGTCTACGCACCAGGTTACGCACCCGAAACCAGAGCATAAGGCGATGCGTATTCATTTTGTGGGTTGGGCATATCCATAGCGGGACTGACCACGATTGCTCTCCTCCGTCAGCGCAGCACCGCCCGCGGGCTGGTGAGCGAGGGCAGCTCGTCGTCCTCCGCAAAGTACTCGTCCGCGTCCCACCCGTCGCCCTCCCCGGGCGCCGCCGAGAGCCACTCCACCGCGCTCGGCTCAAAGTGGCGCTCGAGCGCCTCGCGGTCGTGCTTGACAAACACAATCTTCTCGCGCGTGCGCGGGTCGATGAAGCGCCACATGGCCCGGTAGAAGGCGTGGAAGAGGGCGGGCGCGTGCAGGAGCAGGAACTTGTGCGCCCGCTCCGGATAGTGGTTCTGCAGGATCGCCAGCGTGGCGCGGCTGGTGCGCATCGGGGGCTGGTTGAACATCGAGAAGCCGCGAAAGTCCATGACGATGATCGCCTTGCCATCCGGAGAGGGAGGCACGCCCGCCACGGACCGGCCTCCCGTGAGCCGCTCCATGTGGTACACCAGGTTGTTCAGGTTCGCGTCGTGCTCATTGCGGCAGTTCTCGAGCCGCGGCGCCATCCGCAGGACGGGCCGACCCTCGCGGTCAGCAAAGCTGCATACCCGCAGCTTGCCCGTCGCGTTGGCGCGCCGAATGTCGCGGTGACGCGCCTCCAGGCCGCTCAGAAACTGCGCGCGCCAGTCAAGCGTCTCGCAGAGCATCGCCGCCGCCTTGTCCTCGTCGCCCTGCCTCGCGACGAGGTATCTGCGGCAGCAGGCCTCATCCACCCACTCACTCGCTCCCGGCTGGGCAGCCACCCGCTCCATGAGCGCGGCCACCGCCGCGGGCGAGGCGGGGTCGGCCTTGGTGGTTGTCATACCCGGTTTAGCAGGATCGGAGAGAGGCAGAGTGGCGATCGAGACGCGCTTCTCGAGCTCGGCGCGCACCTTCTACGAAAAAGAATTTACAGTGAAAAAAGAATTTTTGAACGCAACTCGCTGCTACCGAAAGAAGAGCCGAGCGGAAGGAAGCGGGGGAAAACGACTCAGAGGAGGACGGACCAGCGGAAATCCCGTTGTCAGCCGTCACGATGCACCCGAAGGGGACCCCAGCGCCGGCATCATCCGTGAAGGCACAAGTGTTCGAAGAGAGAGTGGACCTGAGCAATGATATGACTGGGCGGCAAATGATAGCAGTGGGCGTCAGAAGACTCGTCCTTGCTCGAGGAGAGCTCGATAGACTCGAGGGGCCAGGATATGCAGCAAAGGAGGGCGGAGCTGCGCCGAAAGGCGAAAGAAGCCGAGAGAACAAGGGAACGGCAGGCGGCGGCGGCGGCACAGAACGAGGCAGAGGAGAGCGACGCGACAGAGGAAGAAGCGACAAGGGAGAGCACGACGAGAAGGGGGCGACCGCGAGGTGGCACGAAGATTGAAGCGAGAATCGGAGAGAGACTGCGAAGAGACATAGGAAGAGGCGGACGCCCAAGGGTGGGCGACGGCTAGCGCACCACACCCCTCTCCTTAAAATCCCTGTGTGGTGGCGGCGTGCCGTCCTCCCATCCCTCCCTTGGGTTGTCCGTTTTCTTTCTGTCTTTTTTTTACACTGAAAAAGAATTAAAAAAGGCTGCCACGACACTGGGCACGGGACTGGCGCGCACTGGCACTAACACAGGTACACCACGGGAGCCGCCTAAGCGACTCCTGGGCGAGGACGGCGAGGCACTAAGCTCCGTGCACTCGACCGCCCTCGCCGGAGGCAAGCTCATTCACAATCTGCTCTGCGATGGCCGTGTGAAGAACGACTGAGATACGCTGCTTCTGCAGCCCTAGCCAGTTCTTGGTGGTCCAAGTCACCTCAGAGCCCAAATCTCACTGTGTGTGACACATTTCTTGTTGGCTTCTAAAAATCTCTCTCTCGAGGTACTGGGCCCGCCCCCGGGGGGGCGTCAGTTTCCGTGCGAAAAAGAATTTTAGGCGGTGCGGGAGGGTGTAGAGGATGTAGAGTGTAGAGCGCTGTAGAGCTGTAGAGCTGTAGAGCGCTGGAGAGCGCTGGAGAGCTGTAGAGCTCTACATCCGCCGCGGGACGAACTGCGTGCGTTGTAGAGCGATGTAGCTCGATCGGTCACACCGCCACCGCCGCCAAGGAGAGGGGGGACGACACTGCTTCGGCAGCGTGCACCTCGATCCTGTACCGTGTTTGTTATGACCCCCCCCAATGAACACTCCAGTGAGGGAGGGTGAGACGATCGAGGGGTCCCGTACCACGCGGAATCGACCCTATCCAGTGCTCAAGTGCTCAAGCGATGTAGAGGCGCTCTACAACGTGAAATCTCTACAACAAACTTGAAAAGCGGCGAACGAGGCACGGTCGCTCTCCGACATGCGAATGCGTAAAACGTATGCGTAATGCGTGAGACGTAACCCCCGCCGGCCGCCACTTCTCACTCGAATGCGTAGTACGTGGGGCGTAGGCCCTCTCCGACACCTTGGGCGTGCGAATGCATCAAGCGTATGCGTAATGCGTGAGGCGTAACCCCCGTCGGCCGCCACTTCTCACTCGAATCCGGAATGCGTGTGCGTAGTACGTGGGGCGTAGCGCGCCTTGAGAGGCACACCCCGATCGGCCGAAGGTGGATGCAGAAGACGGACTCGTAATACGCAAGACATTTGTTGCTCCCTCAGGCGCCACTTGGCTCGGGCACGACACCGAAATACGCGACGTCTGGCCGACGCACTATGGATCGCGGGCGCGTATTGACATAACATGGCCGATCTGTGCATTCTGGGCGATTACATATGCGTAGCAGTCCTGACCACCTCCCCCGGGGAAGACGACTCCGAGGAGGACGAACCAGTGGAAATCCCGTTGTCAGCTGTCACGATGCACCCGAAGGGGACCCCAGCGCCGACATCATCCGTGGAGGCACAAGTTTTAGAAGAGAGAGTGGACCTGAGCAACGATATGACTGGGCGGCAAATGATCGCAGTGGGCGTCAGAAGAGTCGTCCTTGCGCGAGGAGAGCTCGATAGACTCGAGAGGGGCCAAGATATGCCCGGACGACCGCGAGGTGGGCATGAAGGTTGCAGCGAGAATCGGCGAGAGACTGCGAAGGGAGATAGGAAGAGGCGGACGCCCAAGGGTGGGTGACGGCTAGCGCATCACACCCCTCTCCTTAAAATCCCTGTGTGGTGGCGGCGTGCGCCCGTGCCGTCCTCCCATTCCCTCCGTGGGGCTCTGGGGGGAGGCGGGGGCCCCCGGAGGCACCGTGCGCCGCGCCGCAGTGCGGAAACGGGGCTCCGGCTCTACTAGTCTCTACTAGCACCAACTTCCGGATCTAACCCGGTCTAACAGAAGGCAGATTTGGAGAGATCTCGAGGAGTACATACAGATAGACCCTCCAACCATCCGAAAACTCTGACCTGATCGGTCGTACTGACCGCCGACAGATCACTCCAGACAGCAGACAGGCCGACGTCTGCACGCGGCCGGCCGGGCGAGAGGCTTGACACGATCCGACCCTGCGACCCTGATGCTGCTGCTCTAGCTATCAGACACGCACTGGTGACTGCTGCCACAATGTGCGATCGGTGCTGGCCCACTTGGCGGCCTTCCCGGTCAGTGGTGAGGCGCAGTTCAGAGCTGTCGATGGCGCGATGCCGCACTGGTCCCACATTGGTGACACTAGACCACCAAGTTTGCCGGTCCACAAGAGAGGCGCCGGTGCTGTCCTGAGAAGGTGCGTGATCCCTCTTGACTGCGCATGCGCGCGAGGCTGTGTAGGCATAGCCTCGAGAGTGCCAGCAGCCAATCCGAGGCAGTTTGTGACGGGCATTGCGCCAAGCGTGCACGCAGCTGGAAGGACACCTTCCTACTGGCCGTACGATCAGGTCGTCACTGAATGCTGGATACTAAGGCCGTGAGCTATGCAGGCGGTCAATTGTGCAGCAGGGCACGGTCAGCAGCGCCGACAGGCTGTCGCAAGGCGTGATAGCATGGCCGCAAGTACCGCGAATTCCCATGAAAACAAGTGAAAAATCGCGCAAAAAAGAAAAAAAATTGGGCTGCGGCGGGCTGGGGGACCCCATCTCCCCCCCGCACGGGTACCCCCTAGGCCCCCCGCCTCCCCCCAGAGCCGTGGGGGTTGTCCGTTTTCTTTCTTTCTTTCCCCTTACTTCTCACTTTCTGTATTCTGAAAAAAAAAATGAGAAAAATACCGAGACGCTTGCCACCTTGCCCCCGCCCCCCCCAGCCGGTAACTTCCGACAGACACACACCTGTGTGGAGCAGCGCAGTGTTGTGTCGCGGGGCCGTGTCGGCGGCTTGCGTGGCCAACGTCCGCTTGTGCAGAAGCCGGCCCCCAGCTCGAGTGCCAGCTGCGAGGGTGGGTGGGCAGGAGGGGAGGGGGGGAGGGAGGGGGGGGGGGGGGGGGAACGGCCTGGGACACATTCAACGGGGCCCGGAAAGGGGGGAACCCCGCCGCAGGCGCACCACTCGCGCGAATTGCATCCCTCCGGAAGGACACCCCCTTGTAAAGAAAGGGGGGGGGGGGGGACCCCCCGGCCGCAAAAAGGGGGGGGGGGGGTTCAAAAAGGGACAGGGGGTTGGCTTAAAAATTTTTTCCCCAGATCTCCCGCAATCTCCCGCAATCTCCCGCGAGCTGAGCGTCGAGTCCGTTCACGCCGTGAAGCAGTCCAGCCCCTTGACGGCCTGGAAGGCCTCGGGCGGCAGGAAGGAGGCGAGCACCGTCCGCCCGTCGAACTGCTTCCCGTGCAGCTCCTGCGGCGCGCCAGGGGGGAGGTGTGGGGAGGTGTGGGGAGGTGTGGGGAGGTGTGGGGAGGTGTGGGGAGATATGCGGACATGTACATGTGCTCTTCTCCGGCATCATCTCCGCTCCGCTCGTCTCCCGCGTCTCTCCTTCACCTTTCCGCAAGCGAGCGCCTCGGCGGCGGTGCCGTACTCCGCAAAGAGCTTCAGCGCGATCGCAGCCTCCTCCGCCCCCGAGCCGGCAGGGCCGGACACGCCGGGCTTGGGCACGTAGAGGGAGACGGCGCCGTGCTTGGAGCACTCGGACCTGCAGAGGGGGGGGGGGTGTACTGTGGAGGTAGGGGATGGGACACGGCGCCGTGCTTGGAGCACTCGGACCTCGCGTCCTCGAGGATCTCGCCCATCTCCTCGGCGCTGGCCAGGTCCTCCTTTGACACCATCGCGTCGAGGACGAGGACGGGCGTCGCGGTCGACGGGTCGACGGGCGGCGGGCCTGCTGGGGCCGCGGCGGGCGCGGCGGGGGGCGCGGCCAGGCCGAGCTGGAGTAGCCCTCCGCTGCTCGCGGCGGAGGGGGGCGCCGCCGCGGCGAGGAGGTCCTTCCCGTCGGGCGAGATGGAGGTGTTGCCGAGCACGCCCGCCGCGCGCAGCTCGTCCAGCATCGAGTCTGGCATGGGCGCGTAGTCGCGGGGTCGCTCGATGCGGAGCTGCTTGCCGGCGAGCTCGATGTTGTTGAGCGCGATGCACGAGGTCGCCTAGTCCCATACCTCCAGAGTCTCGAATCCAGCGTGTGTGGGTCCAGTCCCGTGGGTGGTGTGGCAACACGGCGTCGCCTCGGCGATGGTCCGAAACTCGATCTCCCCACATCTCCCCATATCTCCCCGTATCTCGCCTCGGCGATGGTCCGAAACTCGATGAAGCCGAACTTGCCCTCGGAGCCGATCATCGAGTCGATGACAGGGTCGCCCTCCTTGGACGAGTCGTGCAGGTTCGCCGACGTGATGGCGGCGTTGAAGAACTGCTTGAGCATCTCGGCCGTGAGCCCCGCGCCCAGCGGCAGGTTGCCCACGTGCACCCTCCTCGCCCGCCGCGTGAGGCCGAGGTTGTTGTTTGCGAGGCTGCCTAGCGCGCTGACGCCCGCGGCGGCGGCACCGCTTGCGGCGGCGAGGGGGACCGCCGCAGCAGACATCGCCGCGAGGGCGGCGCCCGAGAGGCCGGAGACGGACCCGCCGGGCGGCATCCCCGACGCGGTGAGCGCGGCCGAGACGGCGGGGTTGCCGACGGCGGACAGCTGCGCGCCGTGCAGGCCGAGCAGCGAGGCGGTCGAGGTCGGGACGGTGGACGAGGTGACGACGGAAGAGACCGACTGCGGGATGAGCACCTTGTCGAGTCCGGGCGGGGGAGGCATGTAGTCGTTCGGCCGCTGCACCTTGAGCGCTCGGCCGAGCAGCTGCATCCCGTCCAGCACCAGCGCGTTCGTGCACTCGAGCACCGACCGGAACTCGACAAAGCCAAAGCGCGCGTCGCCAGACATGTGGACGTCGTTGATGCAGGGCGCCTCGTCGAGGGTGAGCTTGGCCGCGCTCAGCGTCGTGTTGAAGAGCTCGCGCATCGACTCCAGCGTCAGCCCCGGCGGCAGGTTCCCAATGTGCAGCCGCCGCGCGCGCCGCGTAAGCGCCGCCTGCTGCTGCAGCAGCGCCGTCATCATCGCGGTTTCCTGCATCCTCGCCATCGCGTTGGGCAGCGCGCTCCCCGCCGCCCCCGCCGCCGTGTTGGCCGGCGGCGCCACCTCCTGCCCGGACGAGTCCACGTCCCACATCCGGGCGCGCCGCCGCTTGCGTCCCTCGCCGTCCTTCTGCGCTTCGGGCGAGCGCCGGCGCGGGCTCGGGGAGCGCCGGCGCGGGCTGGGCGAGCGCCGGCGCGGACTCGGGCTGCGCCGGCGAGGAGGGGAGCGATCGCGGTAGTAGCGCTCGCGAGAGCGGGAGCGGGAGCGGCGCGAGTACATCTGCCCCGGGGCGTGTGCCTGGATTTGGTACGGATGTGGGGCGGGGCTTACTCCGAGCCGAGCGGTGTCGTCCCCCCTCTCCATCATCTCACTGGGAGACGTCGGCGGTGATGGCGGTGTGACCGATCGAGCTACAAGAGGAGCTTGTTCAGCAGGATCCGGGTGGGTCGAGCAGTTCTCACTCACTTCCTGGCGCCTCCGCCGCCCAAGCCGCCACCACCGGCGCCTCCGCCGCCCACGCCTCCGCCGCCCTCCACCTCGCCGTCACCGCCGCCGCCTACGCCGCCGCCGCCCTCCACCTCGCCCTCGCCTCCGCCGCCCACGCCGCCGCCGCCCTCCACCTCGCCCTCGCCTCCGCCGCCCACGTCGCCGCCACCGGCGCCTCCGCCGCCCACGCCGCCGCCACCGGCGCCTCCGCCGCCCACGTCGCCGCCGCCCTCCACCTCGCCGTCACCGCCGCCGCCCACGCCGCCGCCGCCCTCCACCTCGCCCTCGCCTCCGCCGCCCACATCGCCGCCGCCCTCGCCTCCGCCGCCCACGTCGCCGCCGCCCTCCACCTCGCCGTCACCGCCGCCGCCCTCCACCTCGCCCTCGCCTCCGCCGCCCACGTCGCCGCCACCGGCGCCTCCGCCGCCCAAGCCGCCACCACCGGCGCCTCCGCCGCCCACGCCGCCGCCGCCCTCCACCTCGCCGTCACCGCCGCCGCCTACGCCGCCGCCGCCCTCCACCTCGCCCTCGCCTCCAGGCACGCCCGATAGGGCTGCTGCAGGCCGGCCGCGCGTGCGCGGGCGTCGGGTGGCCTGGAGGCCGCCGCCGGAGAGGCTACATCATGCAGGATCGGGCTTTGCGAGAGCGCAACTCAAAGCGAAAGCCCACTTCTCACACGCCAACCCAATGGATGGGTCCTCGGAGAGGGTACCCTGGGTGGGCGGGGCCTCTACTCGCCAGGCCACTCCCTCGGCCTCGCGCGACGCCAACCGGGCATGTTCTGAGGAGCCATGCGCGACCTGGCTGGCCTTGCCTTATTACCGCTGGGCGAGTTCCTCACCGAGGTCCTCGGCCCGCTCGGACCACCATTTTGGCCAGCGATCTCGGCCGCGGACGCGCAGGCCGAGCCCGCCGCTGAGCCGCCCGACGTTCGAGCGGCAAGCGTCGCTGAAGCATCCAACAGCACGTGCGCAGCAAAGAGCGCTAGCGGCAGCGCTGGCGACGGTGGCGACGGTGGCGAGGGGGGGGGCGAGCGACGCCCGCTGACCAAGCAGGAGCGCGAGAGGGCGAAGCAGCACCCAGCAGACGGCGCACCGCTCCCAGCAGCACCCAACAGCAGCCGCTCCAAGCCTTCGATCGATGGCGCGGATGGCGCCGTCTCGCTCGCGGAAGTGAACGGAGGACAGCCCGCGCCGGCAGCAGAGGCGCCCTTTTGGCCAGCAGACTACAGCAAGCGGGCCGCAAGTGAAAGCACTGCCGCCGCCTCCTCCGCTACCTCCGCCGTCGCCTCTGGCACTCCAGCCGCGTACCGACCTCCGAAGACGGCGCTGCCGACGCGTAGCGTCGTCGCGGCGGGTGGCACGCTGGCCGATGTGCTCATCCCGTTTACCACGCCAAAGGGCGCTCCCCACCTGTGGTGCACTCGCTGCGGCTCCGCGCTCACGTTCAGCCTCGAAAGGGCGGAGCTTGTGCGGGCCCACCTGGGAGGCAAGAAACACAAGAGAGCGACAGCTTCGGGCGCGCACCACCCGCTGCCGAAGCAGAAGAGGCCGAGGGATCGAGAGGCAGACGCGTCGGCGAAGCAGCCGGGCGCAGCACGAGGTAGCTGCGTGCAAGGCAGTCCCGTGCCAGCGCCCGCTTCGGCCGCCTCGGCCGCTGCCCCACCCGCAGCAGCCTCACCCGCAGCAGCTCGCGACGCAGGGCCAAGGAAGCAGCGCGCGCGCCCGCGCATGCGTCCGGCCTCTGCGCCTGCTGCCCCTTCTCCCACCACTACCGCCGTCCCTGCCGCTGCCGCCGCCCCTACCACTGCCTCCGCCCCTGCCCCTGCTCCCGCAGCTGCACCTGCGGCTGCGCCTGTGGCTACGCCTGTGGCTACGCCCGTGGCTACGCCCGTGGCTGTGCCTGTGGCTGTGCCTGTGGCTACGCCTGTGGCTGTGCCCGTGGCTGCACCGTCGGTTGCCCGCGCGTTCCCCTCCTTTGCCGCCGGAGCTGCGACTGCAGGTCACGCCGCTGCCGTCGCTCTCTCCCGCAAGCCCTCGGCGACGACCAGAGCTGCGGCGGCGGCGGCAGCGGTTTCGGCGGCGGTCGCGCTGAGAGTCGAGGCGCGGCACGCCGAGGAAGCGCGGCACGCCGAGGCCGATCGGCCTCCTTCTCGCCTCCCTCCTCCTCCTCCTCCTCGCCTCCCTCCTCCTCCTCCTCCTCGCCTCCCTCCTCCTCGCCTCCCGGCAACAGAGCCACCGCACCTCGCAGCGACAGATCCGCCGCCGAAGCCGCCCAACATCCCGGCGCACTACATCTTCGACTTTTCAGACGAGCTCTGGAAGCCGCCGCGAAAGCCATCGCCTCCGCCGCAGTCGCGGCCGCCTCCGCCGCCGCCGCCGCCGCCGCCGCCGCCGCCGCCGCCTCAGCAGCACGTGCCGCCGCCGCCAGTGCTAGCGCCCGCGGCGCTGCGGCCAGCACAACCACAGCCGCAGCTGCGGCCACTACCGCCGGCCCCTCCCGCACCGCCGCCACTCTCGCGGCTGCCGTCAGGATTGCCGCCACCGCCGCCACCGCCACCGCCACGCGCGGCGGCGGCGGCGGCGGCGGCGGCGGCGGCGGCCTCTCGCGTGGCCATGCGCGTGGCGGCAGCAGAGGCCAAGTCCGCGCCGCAGCAGCCAGCAGCGTTGCCAACGGTGGCAGCGGCGCAGCCACCGCCTCAGGTCGCTGCTGGCCCCGGCCGGTGCCACAAGAGTAGCTGCGGTGGCGGCAGCAGCAGCAGCAGCAGCAGCAGCAGCAGCAGCAGCAGCAGCAGCAGCAGCAGCAGCAGCAGCAGCAGCAGCAGCGGTGGTGGCGGGGGCGCAGCTGGCAGCGGCAGCGGTGGCGGTGGCGGTGGCGGGTCCGCCCTCTCCGGCGAGGTTATGGCGGCGGCGCAGCGGCTGCAGCGGCGGGAGACGCAGGTCGAGAATGGCAAGGACACGCGGGTAAATGCGTGGAGGCGAGCGCCGCAAGAGTGGGGCGAGGCGCAGGCTGAGGCGCAGGCCGCCGACACGGCGGCAGGCGCGCCACTCACCGCCACGGAAAAAGCTGGGCTGGAGACGGAAGCTGGGCCGGAGACGTGCCGCCTCAGGGCGGATGCAGGCCCACGCGCAGCCCTCACCCGAGGCAGCGTGCTGGCTGAGCTGCGCAGCGAGAGGAGAGAGGCGGCAGCGAGCGAGGGAGAGGAGGAGAGCGCGTCTCAGTCGAGGCTGGGTGAGCCGCCAGCTGCCCGAGCCAAGGCGGCGCGGCAGAGGACTGACTCGGGCTCCGCCGCCGCCGCTGCTCCCGCTGCCGTGCCGCCGCCAGCCGCGGTGCCGCCGCCAGCCATCGCCAGGGGCAGCGTCTTGGACGAGCTGCGGCGCGAGGGCGCCAGCAGCAGCAGGGGTGAGGGCGGAGGCAGTGGCGGCGCGGGTGTGAGCGGCGGGCCAGAGGCCGCCAGCGGCGGCGAGAGCGCTTCATGCTCCGCCGCCGCTGCTCCCGCTGCGGTGCCGCCGCCAGCCGCGGTGCCGCCGCCAGCCATCGCCAGGGGCAGCGTCTTGGACGAGCTGCGGCGCGAGGACGCCAGCAGCAGCAGGGGCGAGGGCGGAGGCAGTGGCGGCGCGGGTGTGAGCGGCGGGCCAGAGGCCGCCAGCGGCGGCGAGAGCGCTTCATGCTCCGCCGCCGCTGCTCCCGCTGCCGTGCCGCCGCCAGCCGCGGTGCCGCCGCCAGCCATCGCCAGGGGCAGCGTCTTGGACGAGCTGCGGCGCGAGGGCGCCAGCAGCAGCAGGGGCGAGGGCGGAGGCAGTGGCGGCGCGGGTGTGAGCGGCGGGCCAGAGGCCGCCAGCAGCGGCGAGAGCGCTTCATGCTCCGCCGCCGCTGCTCCCGCTGCGGTGCCGCCGCCAGCCGCGGTGCCGCCGCCAGCCATCGCCAGGGGCAGCGTCTTGGACGAGCTGCGGCGCGAGGGCGCCAGCAGCAGCAGGGGCGAAGGCGGAGGCAGTGGCGGCGCGGGTGTGAGCGGCGGGCCAGAGGCCGCCAGCAGCGGGGGCGGCGGCCCCTGCGATGTGGGCAATCGCGATGGCGGTGGTGGCGGGCACCGGCTCATCCTTCAGAATTTGCCGATCGCGCTGAGCCGTGAAGGCTTGCGCGACGAGATGCGCCGGATCGGCGAGGTGTTGCAGGTCTCCGTCGAGCTCTCCGGGCACGGCTCGCAGCGCGGCGTGGTCGAGTTCGCGTCGCCGAGCGACCTCGCCTTTGCGAGGAGCAAGCTCGACGGCTCGCGGTTCAGAGGCCACACCGTCGAGGCGTACGCGGAGGCGCGACCCGGCGGCATTGCTGGCGGCGGCGGCGGCTCTGGCGGTGGCAGCTCTGGTGCCGGCGGTGTGGGCGCCAGTCAAAGTGTTGAAGCTGCACCCGCAGGCGGGGCACCGCCGCCGACGGCGGCGGCGGCGGCGGCGGCGGCGGCGGAGGCGGCGGCGGAGGCGGAGGCGGTGGCGGCGGCGGCGGCGGCGGCGGCGGCGGCGCCTGCAGCTGTGCCTGGCTCGTCTGGGGGAGAGCAGCTAGTGCGCGAGTCGCGCGCCGACGGCGGCTACTCGATGATCCCACTCGTCGACCTCGACGCGATTCCAGCTACTGCCGCCGCGCCCACTGCTGCTGGTGCGCCCACTGCCGCCGCCGCGCCGCCGCCCAGCGGCGCGAAGCATGAGCGCAAGCGGAAGGCGTCTGCGCCGCCGCCAAAGGAGTCTAGGCAGGCGCCCAAGCGCGTGGCCGTGAAGTGCAAGCCGTCTAGCGAGGCCACCGCCACACAATGGCTCCCGCTGCCTGGTGGGAAGGCGGTCGCCGCCCCCGCCCGCGGCGTGCTTGGCCGCCTAGGGGCCGCCTGTCCAGAGCCGGGCAGAGGCAAGGCTGGCGGCAACTCGCTGCCTGAGCCAGAGAGCAAGGGCAAGTACAAGGGCAAGCCGGGGGACCCGTTCTGGGTTTGTCGCAGCTGTGGCACGCGCTCGTGGGAGGCGCGCTCGTCTTGCCGGAAGTGTGGCGTGGCAAAACCGCCTGGCGCCAAGATCACGCACCCCCCCAAGCGTAGAGGCGGGTAGTGGCCCAAACGCAGCCAAATTATAGAGGGTCGCTTCCCTGCTGCACTGTGCTGGCGGGGGGCGACGCGAGGAGCGAGGAGCGAGGTGTGCCGACAGCAACACCGCAGAGCGATGTGATTTCTGTTTTGCCTTTGAAACCCGCACCGTTTTTTTGGGCAATCCGCGCCGCGCTTTGAACGTACCAGTAACCAGAGATGAGTCCAAGAATAGACAAGACAGACATAAAGAGATGTGGCGCGCACGTTGGCTCTTGAGCAGTGGGGGGCCTGCCCGCACACCCGGGACCACCGGGTGGTATAGAGCAGAGCCGCGAGGCCCAGCCCAATCCGCGCGTGATGTTTACATGCCCGGCTGCCCCTGCTCCTCGGGCGCGAGCTTGATCATGTCGTCGATGCGCAGCACGGTGATGGCCGCCTCGGTCGCGAACTGGATCATCTTGACCTTGGACAGGGCCGGCTCGATGATGCCCGCCGTCAGGTTGTTTTGAATCTTGCCGCTCACGCAGTCGAGGCCGTACCGCCGCAGCTCCGCCTTCGCCGAGTCGGTCTGCGCGGCGTTGTGGTTTGCGCGGAGCTTTGCGACGATGTCGGTCGCGTCGCGCGCGGCGTTGACGGCGAGCTGCTTCGGGATGACGAGGAGGGCCTGCGGTGCGGGGCCGGGGAGTCGTGGAGGGTGTCGTGCGGGAGGGGGTCATGGGGGGGGGCGGAGGGGGCGGCGGAGGCTGCGGAGGGCGGCGCCTCTGCGAACTCTGCGATGGCGAGCTGCTCCCGCGAGCCGAGCGTGGTAGCGAAGTTCTCGAGGTAGATGGAGAGGGCGGACTCGACGCAGCCGCCGCCCGGGACGACGGAGGCGGACTCGAGGGCCCGCTTGACGGCGCAGAGGGCGTCGTGGAGCGAGCGGTCCACCTTCGTAGGGGAGAGGCGAGGGGTTTGGAAGGGGGGTGGGCGAGGGGGGTGGGGCAGGGGAGGGTGGGGGTGATCGAGGGGGTGGCATGGTGGCGGATCCCGGCCGCATGCCGGCTGCATCTCCGCCTCTCGCCTCGTCGAGCATGTGGTGGTTAGGGTCAGGGTCAGGGTCAGGGTCAGGGTTAGGGTTAGACTCGTCGAGCATGTGGTGGCCAGGGTCAGGGTCAGGGTCAGGGTCAGGGTCAGGGTTAGGGTTAGACTCGTCGAGCATGTGGTGGTTAGGGTCAGGGTCAGGGTCAGGGTTAGGGTCAGGGTCAGGGTTAGCCTCGTCGAGCATGTGGTGGTTAGCTCCGCGCAGCAGGACGGAGCAGCAGCGCTGCGTCTTCCCGCCAGAGATGACGAGGTGGTCGTCGTCGCAGATGCGCTCCTCGCTCACCTCCTCCGCAGAGCCGAGCATCGACGCGTCGAACGACTCCTCGCCCTCCATGTCGGCGAGCGTGATCATGAGCGTGCCGCCAGTCAGCTTTGCGATGCGGCGCAGGTCGTCCTGCCGGAAGGAAGGAGGGTTTGGGAGGCTTGGAGGGGGGGCGGCGTGCGCAAGGAGAGGCGGGCAGGGAGGAGCGGAGGGGCGACTTGGGGGGGCGACGGGAGGTGTGAGGGGGGCGGAGGTGCGCTGTCGCCTTCTTGACGCGGAATCTCGGCCAATCTCGGCGCATCTCGGCTAATCTCGGAGGTGCGCTGTCGCCTTCTTGACGCGGCGCAGTGCGATGCAGTTCGCCTCGACAAAGTACTTGAGGGCCATGTCGTCGATGCCCTTGGTGGTGAGGATGACGTTCGCCTGCGAGCACGCGCGGCGGCAGTCGGGGCGCGCCTCCCGGTCCGGGCAGCGGAGAGGGGGGTGGGAGGGGGAGCGGAAGGGTGGTCGTGCGCAGCGCGCTCACCCCGGCGTTAATCAGCAGCTGGATCCGCTCCTTGGTGATGTCCGCCTCGCGCTTGCGGATCTCCTCGAGCTTCTTGGGGTCGGTCACGACGACGCTCACCCCCATCGCCATCTTGGTCTTGCGCAGGTCGATGTCGAGCAACGCGATCCTCGCCCCCTTGACCGAGCGAGGCATGCCCTGCGCCGCGCGGCCGCCCTGCAGCACGTACCCGCTGATCAGCTGCGAGTCCCTGGCGGAGCCGCCGTGCTGCTTGAGGATGCCGACCGACTTGATCGGGTAGATCGCCTTGCCGCTCTCGGGGTGCACGTCCTTCACCATCGCCATCGCGTCCACCGCCAGGTTGGCGAAGAAGTCGGACTCGCGCCCAAAGATCTTTGACGAGAGCGTCGTCTTTGCAATCTGGAAGGCGATGTCACGGCCGAGCTTGTCCGTCTTGACGACCATCTGGTCGCGGATGAACTTGATCGACTCCTTCATCGCGAGGCGGAACCCCGCCATCACCGACGTCGCGTGGATCGAGTCCTTGATGAGCTCGTTGCCGCGCTTGAGCAGCTCGGCGGCGAGGATGACGACCGAGGTGGTGCCGTCGCCGACCTCCTTGTCCTGCATCTCGGACAGCTGCACCAGCACCTTGGCCGCCGGGTGCTCCACCTCCAGCTGGTCCAGGATGGTCGCGCCATCGTTGGTGATGGTCACCTCGCCGAGGTCGTCAACCAGCATCTTGTCGAGGCCGACAGGGCCGAGCGACGACTTGACGACGTTGGCGACAGAGAGCGCCGCCGTCACGTTCTGCGTGCGCACCTCCTGGCCGGAGACGCGCTCGCCCGCGATCGAGAGCTGGCTCATTGTGGAGGAGCTGTTGGAGGCGTTGGCGGCAAGTGGCGGCCGCGTCGATCAAAAAAAGAAAGAGTTGAACACTGGAAGCGCTCCAAGTACCGGTTTCGCGAAAGGCCTTTGCGAAAGAAAAGAACACGTACTCGCGGACCGCCCGCCCACGACCGCCTCCTTCCCGCCTTCCAGGTACGACGTAAGACCACCGGGACAACGAGCTCCCCCCCCTCCCACCCACCCTCCCTCCCACATGCCCGCAACCACGCCCTTTCTCCACCCCTCTCCCACAAAAGTCCTCTCACCTTCCTCTCCCCTTTAGCGGTGGAGATCGCGGAGCCCCCCCTGAGTCCCTGGAGCCATACAGATGGGGTGATGCTCTGATAAACCCTCCGGATCTTCGACAAACGTCGGATATTTCTTTTTTCAAAGTGCACGGTGTGAATAAGAGGTTTATGATAGGGCTACTACGACGAACTATGCGGCAATCGACTGGGCGCCTGGCGCCCGACCACCCCCGCGCAAAGACCTCGTAGTAGCCCTCCCCGTAACCGACTTGGCCGGACGTGTCCAGGCCGCTGTCGCCGCGCAGAATGGCGCGAGCAGTCGCTCGAGGGGCTCTACTGGCTGGCGGTGCTCAAGGGGAAGGCGTACACGCTGGCCGAGGACACGGTCGTCAACACCGACACCATCCCCGCGGGCTATCTCGTGGTTAAGGCGCAGTGGCTCAGGCTCGAGCAACGCGAGTGCGAGGGCAAGCTTCGCTCCTACACGCTGCTCGAGGCCGAGACGCTCATCATCGTGAATCACATGGTGCGGCTGGCGGGCTTGCGCTTCTCGCCCGGCCCGGGCGGCCCTGCGGACCGCCAGCTGAGGAGCGCGCGCGAGAAGCTCTATTATATTGGCCTACAGACGCATTACTCGCTCGAGGCGTGCTGCAGTGAAGACCAGTCTTATTGAGCTTGTTTGGAGGCGTCGATTTGTGCAAAAATGTGTGTTAGAGAGCGCTAGATGGCAAAATTTTCTTCGCCTCCGGCGGGGCCGCTCGCCGCGGGGCTAGAGAGTGACTTTTGTCGATGTCGGCTAGAAGTGCTGCACGTTTTTCAGAATTTCACCCGATGGACCATCCACACCAACCTTCAATCCGTTCCTCTTTGAGCATCGCCCGTGCCGCGCACTGGCATGCGCGACGCTGACAAACAAGAGTGGAGCGTCCGGATCAACACCCATCGGCTGATGAGGCCTGTTGTCCTCGCTTGTCTCCACAAGGACTCGCTGATCGCGCGCCATCGGCTCGAGGTTAAGCCAGGTGGTGTTTGTTGTCGAGAGATGTGTCGCGTAGACCCTGCCACTTTTCTCCCGGTCTAGTCGGAACGATGTGGTGTCTTGACAGGTGAGGGTTGTACGGAGCCTGCACGTCGCCCTCCCGGCCTATGACGACCACGGTCCGTCCACAGAGACGCCGCTGCCGCTGCCGCCCGCTGCGGGCGTGGGCGGGAGGAAGGCGGGAGGGCCGCATCGTCGACTGGCGGTCAAGGCGGTCAAGGCGCCATGGACGCGCCAGGAAGACACCATGATCCGCGATGGCGTGCTCCAGCGCGGCTACAAGTGGACCGCGATCGCGCAGTCACTCCCGCGCGAGCGCTCGGCCGACGCGGTGCGCAACCGCTGGCACAGGCTGCAGTCGCGACGATCGGGAGGGACGCCGCGCGGCTCGCCTGCACTGATGCGCCCCAGGTCGGACGGCGAAGCCGACTCCGAGGGCGGCGTGTCCGCCGAGGACTCTGGCGAGCTCGGCGCCGACGTCGGCGAGGACTTCAACCTCACCGAGGAGAAGCACGGCGACATGTGGACCGAGGAGGAGGACTCGATCATCTACAACGCGGTGGTGCAGCGTGGGCCGTGCTGGACCGCCATCGCCCAGCTGCTGCCCGGCCGCACCCACTCGGGGTGCCGCAACCGCTGGGTGAGGATGCAGGAGCGGCGGCTGGCCGCGGCCGGCGTGCACGTCACGGGCGCGACGCAGGTGATGGAGGTGCTGCGCAGGCTGGGCTTCTCGTGGGGGAGCGACGCGAACGCCGCCGGCGTGGCGCACCTGGCGGCGGTGGCCGCTCAGCATGGCGGGGACTCTCACGGTTCAGGCGTGGCGCACCTGGCGGCGGCGGCGCAGCAAATGGCGGCGGCGCAGCAAATGGCTGCGCACTGACGGCCACAATCAGGCCACAATGCGCTTCTCCCAGCAGATGCGACCAGAATTGAGCAATGCCCACGGCAATTTTCCTGTTCTTTGCACGCAGCAGCGATCTCGACTGCCTCCGTTCTGTATCCGGTCCTCGCCGAGGACAACGCTCCGCCGATGCAATCTCGCGGCAGGGCATCCCGGCGGGCGAGGCAGCGTGACATGAGAGGCCGAGTCGCTTTGTTTATGTGATGCCGTTCGTCTGGCTCGGGGGCGTGAATAGTCCTGGGTCAGAGGGTGTGGGGGAAGGGAGAGGGCGGGGGTGGCGGCGGGTGCGGACACACACCGGGGGCGCCGCCGGGGCGCGCCACACGCGCCGCCCCTGGCTCTTGCCCCCTTTTCGCTTCCCTTCGAGCAAGTGCGCCGCTCGGCCTCCGCCCGCTCTCAGCGTGTCGTGTGGTGCTGCCAGCAGCCGGCAGCGGTATATAATGGATATTATGGTGCGAGATGCACATATGGATATGCCACATCGGGATATGCTGCCGCCACACAGGGCGGCGGATTTCGCGCGCTCGCCCCCGGGGGCAGTCGCTGTAGACGGAGCGTCACACACACAGCGCGCGCGCGGGGGGGGGCGCGGGGGATTTCGGCTTTCGCTTCGTTCGCCCGCCGCCTCAGCGGCTGTAGAGGGGAACCATAGCCGCACCCCGCAAAAGTTGGAATCCGGCAACACGGCGAGTGTTGCGCCCCCCCCCGGGGGCCACGAAGACCGACCGAGAGTTCGTACGGGCCACGAGTGGCTTCCAACACCGCATGCCCGCCTGCGCCGCCTTCTCGGTGCACGTCGCCTTCTACCTCTGGTACGGCACCCCGGCTCTTGACGGCCGTTGGCTCCACTGGGATCATGCGACGCTGCCGCATTGGACTGATCATATGAACGAGCGCTTCCCGCCTGGCAAGCCCTTCATCCCGCCAGACGAGCCGCACTCACCCTACTACCCTGCGCGAGGCCTCTACTCTTCTCGCGACGAGAGCGTTCTCCGTGAACAGATGCGCGAGATCGCCGCCGCTGGCATAGACTCAGTGATGCTCTCCTGGTGGGGCCAGGCGGGCAAAGATTTACGGCGCGACTCGCAAGGCGTCTCCACCGACGAGCTCGTGCCGGCTGTCCTCGACGCGGCGGCCGCGGCGGGCGTAGGCGTCAGCTGGCACGTCGAGCCTTACGGCGGCCGAACGCCCGCCTCCGTCCTGGACGACCTCCGCTACCTGCACGAACGTTTCGGCGCGCACCCCGCCTTGTGGAGGCAGCCTCCGCCAGCGGGGTCCCGCGACGGCTCGGCTAGCGACGGCTCGGCTAGCGACGGCTCGGCTAGCAGCCTGCCGCTCGTCTTTCTGTACGACGTGTCGGCAGAGCACACCGGGGGCGGCTCGCCGGCAGAGAAGCGGCGGGCGCGGGCGGCGTGGCGGGAGGTGATGCGGCAGGTGCGTGGCAGTCCCTTCGACGCGACCGTGCTCTCTCTCTTCCTCGACGAGCGAGACGTCGACTTTGTGGCGGACGCGGGCTTTGACGGCGCGTACTCTTACTTTGCGGCGAGCGGCTTCACCGAGGGGAGCTCGCCTGGAGGCTGGCGCACGCTGCGGCAGCGCATGGCGGCGACGGGAAAGGCTTTCGCTCCGTCAGTCGGGCCTGGCTACAACGACACACTGATTCGGCCGTGGAACGGCGGAGCGACGCGGCCCCGCGAGGGCGGGCGGTACTACGACGAGCAGGGGTTTCGACCCGCGGCCGATGCGGCTCCGGCGAGCCAGGAATCGCAGATCTCGTTGTTCCGGGAGGCGGCGTGCTTTTCGCGGGGAGTGTGGTGGTCTCTCTCTCTCTCTCTCTCTCTCTCTCTCTCTCTCTCTCTCTCTCTCTCTCTCTCTCTCTCTCTCTCTCTCTCTCTCGGTTGTGTGCTCATGTGCGCAGATGTTTACCTGTGGCTGTGAGCAAAACGGGAACGAACGTGCCGAGAAAGGACGCATTTCGTGAGCGAGATTAAAAAATGCGGAAGAGAAAATGCAAAAAGCGAGCACGGCGTGTGCCTCGGCCGCCCCTGTCAGTGTGCCTGTGGTAGCCAGGCCCAGTGAGGCGAGTGCTTCTCGGCATCGATCCTCGAGGTTGTGAAGGAGCCCGACCGCGTCAGCTTGAAAGCGCTGTGGACCGTGTGGCCGCCGATTAGACGTGCCGCCTTGGCAGTGGAGGCGCACACGAGAACGCGTTTGCCTTGAGAGCGCCACCATTGCACTAGCAGGCGGATGAGCAGGGACTTACCCATACCGCCTTCGCCGCTGAGAAAGGAGAGCAGCTGCTTGTCTCCCGCGTACTTGAGGAGCTCGAAGGCGAGCAGCTGTCGCCGGAGTCGCCACACGGTGTCGGCCGTCTCGTGCCATGTCGCCACAGTGACGATCTCTCCATCGATGGTCTCTGTCGTGTACCTACATTGTGTACCTCAGATCTGGTTGGGGAACTGCTGTCTCATTGCCCGTCCTCTGGCTCTCGATGTCGTTGCGCAGTCGACGTAGATCCTCTTCGGTCATGGTGTCGTCGCCGGCGCCGTGTGCAGCGGCGCCGTGTACAGCATCGACGTCGCCTTCGTTGACAGCGGCCATCACCGCCTCGTGATTCTTGAGTCGCTCACGCATCGCCTCGCGCTGCTCCGTGTTGCGCAATCGCGCCTTCGCATCCTCCTCCAGGAGCTGTGCGAGGCCTCCCTCGCGGAGAATGCCTCTGACTGATAGCTCCTCGAACATCGTACCGGTGATGTTGGAGTCAGAGATGAAGCTGCTGGGGGTGGAGTCGCGGAAAGACGTCTTGAGCACTAGCTGTTGGTAGAGATAGTGCTCGCCGTGCTGATCCGGTTCTAGCCACTTGATTGCCACCGGCTGTGGAGCATCGGACTTTGCTTGGCGCACTCGTCTGGCATGGCCCCGTTCGCGGCTAAACACGCCGTCTCCCGCGCGAGCGAAGCGGTTTTTTTCAGTGTATGTAGCTCTTACGTACATTCCCGGAGGAGGACTGCTGACGGGGTTTGCAATAGGTCAACGAGGCGGTTCATAGATATCTGGCTACCCGGGTAGGAGCCGGTTCGCGGGTTTTCTCGTCCTGTTCGTCCCGTCTCGTCTCATGTCGCCCCGCGCCGACCTGTACTCGAAGAAGATGGGCGAGCTCCTGCTCAAGGGCTGGCGCATGCTGGAGGAGGAGTGCCCTCTCACGCACGACGTGCCTCTCATGCAGCACCCGCAGACTGGCCGCAAGTTCTCCATTGCCGCCGGCTGCTACACCGACGAGATGGACGGCGAGATGAACGGCTCGCCCACTCCACCGACGTCCACCGCGACGCCGTCTCCCGGGACGAGCCGCCCCGCCGCCGCCGTCGCCGCTGCCGCTGCCACTCCCGGGGCCTCTTCCGCCGCTCCACCGGCGCAGCCGCCGCAGGGCGCAGGCCCGGCTGCCACCGCCACCGCGTCGCTGTGCGAGGGGCGCACCGAGGCGGACGGGTGGTGCGAGGAGATGTCGGCCCTGATGCTCAAAGGCTGGAAGATGCTCGGAGAGCAGTGCCCCGACACGGGCAAGGCGCAGCAGACACGGCAGCACGCCCGCCGCCGGCCTCACCGCCCTCCGCAAGCCGCCGCCTCCCGCCCGCAGGTCCCTCTGATGCAGCATCCGGTCAGCGGTCGCAAGCTCTCCGTCGCCACTGGCAGGAGAGACCGGCCCACGCCCTACCGCCCGGGCCCTGCTGCGCCTGCCCCGTCGCCCCTGCCCCGCGGCCCTGAGGATTAGAAGACAGCTGTGCACCACGCCGACCTCGCTGTGGAGACAACCCCTAATCACCCATCGAATATGAAGGGCCGCTCTCTCCCCCCACAACCGCCTCCACCCACCCCAGTCCGCCCTCCGCCACTCCACACACGCCAGACCCGCACCGCAGGTACACGGACCAGCCCCGTGCTCCGCCGCACGCCGCGTCCTCGCCCCAGCCAGTCCCCGCCGCACCTCACCCTGCACCCGTGGCTCCGCGTGCTCCCGCGCCTCCGCCGTCGCCGCCTCCGCCGCCGGCGGCGGCGGCGGCGTCCGCAGAGATTCCCGACGTCGCGGTCGCTGCGCTCGACACGGCGGCGCGGGCGCTCGCCGACCAGCTCACCGAGTGCGCCAAGCTACTCAGCCGCGCCGCAGCGCCGCCGCCGCACGGCCTCGTCGAGACGATGGCCCAGTGCGCCGATGCGCTCGCCGCGACGGAGCGCGCAAAAGCGCTGTACCGCACGGGGCCGGGGCCGCATTGGGGGGACTGACAAAAAAGAAAAAACAACTCAGAAATTCCTGTCGCCAGCTCACTTGCGCGGCTTGCAATCACTCTTTTCTTTTTTGCTCCTATGGTCGCTGGGCTGCTCTCTAGACTGATGCGAGCGCGCTCCCTCGCAGCGGGCCTCCTGCTGCACGCGTGCTCGGCAGCGGTGCTCGCGCCGCCGACCATTTCCCGCCACTCGGTTGCGCTGCCGGCCCTTCGCATAGGTGGCGAGTGGGCCGGCCACACTGTGGAGTTCTCGCCGGAATCCGGCTGTGCGCTGTCCAGCGTCGAGGTGCTGGCTTGTGAGCGGTGGAACGCTGACCGCCGACTGGAACGGCGCACGATCGAGTTCAATGCCGACGGCGCTGCCATGAGCGAGGGCGTCGTGCTGCCGTTCGCGCAGAGTGGCTCCGAGGTGCTCACTCTCGGCGCGAGGATGCTGGAGCCCGACGTGCTCAACATCCGGGCGTGGGCGCTGGATGCGGTCGACGAGACCTCTCCGGGCACGTGGGACTGCGAGGCGATCATCGACGGCCTCAGCGGCGACCGGCCGGCGGAGCGCGCAGGGGCGCTCGAGTGCCCAAAGGTGAGGACGCGCGTGCGGTGCCGCTTTGACCCGACGGCGGGAAGGGTCGACCCAGCGTCGCCGGTTGCGATCTCGCTCGAGCGCTGCTGGTCGGTGACGCCGTCGGCGGCGCTAGACGAGGCGGGGCCTGCTGCTGTGGACGCAGAGTGGCGGTCTGCTGTGGTTGGGATGGAGAGCTTTGGTGAGGGAGAGGGCACTCTCTCCGCCGCCGGCATCGAGCTTCATGGCGAGCCTGGGCTGCTGCGACTGACGCTGCGTTCGGGAACGAGGGCGCAGAACGGCTACTCGAGCGTGTCCATCTCCCGCAGCTGGGTGGGCGAGTGTTGCGAGGGCCCCGACGCCGCTTGCTCCGTCTTCACTGAGGTGGAGGTGACGGACGATACGACTGGGGATAAATGACCCGACGACGCGGCAGGTGACTTGCTCGAGGAGCACGATCACGACCACCACGACTGAGCTTCCATGGAGATGGCCGGTCCCCGGAAATGACGCAACGTTCGCACAATCTCCTCAAACGCGGGAGCTGCGCGTTGCTGAGCGAGCCGCGGGGCTTCTGACATTTGCACCAAGACGTGTTTTTTACGTACGCGTGAGGTGTGGATAAACCAGACACCACTATGTTATATCATAGGATATAACATACTGAGATACCAGGCTCTTCCCTGGCATATCAGCTATCAAGAAACCGTCTGTTTTCTAGGAGGAGGAGCTCTGTATTCTGCTTTTTCGACATATCCCACAGATCACATCCGGGCCATGGGAATATCGGTCCAGACGCTCTGGGTTCTGGTTTTTCGAGGTGTGAACGATCTCCCGGAGGGGTCATTCCGCCGGAATGACCCCTCATTAACTAATCGGATTCCGAATGGGTCGAACGGGAGTACTAAGACAGCAGCATGTTCTGGGTGGGAGGAACCCTTGAGGAAACGTTCTGGTTTCTGGTTTCTGCGATATCGAGTGCGATGGAGCGCCCCTCGTTGCTTTCACCTCTCAACGGCGACGAGAAGCGGCTCACCACGGTGCCTCAGCGCACAGTGTCGCTCCTCTGTGAGACTGACGCAAAACAGGCCAGCGTTCAGTTGCTCAAGCGCCAGGCACTCGGTGTTTGGCACGCCGACGCCCTGTCCGACGTTGAGAATGCCATTGGCGACCTGCACTTCTGGCCAACGACCTGGTCGAAGGACCCTCGCAGCCGTGACTACGACATGCAGCGCCTCGGACGGTCCAAGCGGCTCGACAATCGCGAGCGCTTCGAACTCTTCCGATTTGTGGTTGGCAACGGCGCATCACCCGCTCTGGCCGTCGAACTCCTTGCCGCGTCGGAAAGCCTGCCAGACACGTTCGCCATAACCCAAATGGAAAACCTCGTGAAGAAGGCTGCCGAAGGCAGCTTCTCCAAGTATAAGGCATACATCATGGCGGACCGCAAGTGGGCCCCGGTCTTTTGCGTGCCAGAGCAGAAGCCTCTGCCTCTTGGAGAGTACTGCCCATACGAAGACGCTCGCAAGGTGCTTGCACGGCAGAAGAAGCGCCAATAGGCCGGCTTGCTGGTGTCCGATGGAGGCCGCCATCGCTTAGAGTCGCATGTGGAGCGCCACCGCGACCGTGGGCGATGATCGCTGCCGCCAGCCCGCAGTGCATCCTCCGTTCCTAAATGCATCGTAGTCATCTCCGCCGAGGGCGGCGTCCCATGTCGTCGTCCATGTCACTGCCACGCTACCTCGCATTCAGTGCCGTGCCGTGAGCGCGGCCTGTGCTACGTGTGTGAGCGTGCTCACGGTGTGAGTGGCGGCCCTGCTGTGTACAGAGAGACCACGCGCCAAGCCAGCGCACATGCTAAGCGCACTGCGTTGTCTGTTTATGAGCTCTCTAGAGCATGGTCGTTCCTAAAGGCGCAGCTAGGCGCAGCCGACACATGGGATGGACATGGCAAGCACATGGCATGAACATAGGGCAGGCACGATTCGCGCATCTCGACACACGACTGCACACAGGCGACACTACGTCGCGCAAGGGTGCAGCGGCTATGGTCACGCACATCGCGCCCGATCCCTCCTCCTAACGCGACGCCAACTAAGGCATCAGTGCATGCATCGCTCTCCCTGTCCGCGCGGGTGCGCCGGTCGGGCGCTGGTGGGGCGCCGTCCTACGACCGGCGAGCCCCGGCAGAGGGGTGGAGCTCTCTACTGAGCCGCCTTCCCCGACGGCGGCGGACCGGCCCGGGCGCCACGGCGCCGCAGAGGCGGCAGCGGGGACGGCGTCAAAGATGGCGTGCCTCAGGGGCCGCCAGTCGCGGCGTGCGTCTTGCTCGAATTGGCCCCGCCGAGGTGCCCGGCGACAGCCTCGTCATGCGCGAGAAGGAGATCCGCGTCAGAGAGGCCGAAGAGACCGAACTGGTCCGAGGGGGTGAACTCCTGCGACGCAGGCCCGCTCGAGGCGCGAGATGGCGCCGGCGGCAGCACGAAGCCAAGCATGTCGTTCGGGAAGTAGAGGTAGTCCTTCTTGCCGTCGAAGAGGCTCTTGCGACGGAGGAGGTTTCCCTGGCGCGGGCGGAGGTGGCTTGATTGAGATCAGGGAGGCAGGGTGGCGGATCGATGTGAGAGAGACGGCACGCACCGGACCAAAGACCGCGTGGATGTACTGCGGGACGGTGATGTGCAGCGGCTTGAGCAACTTGGTGCCCGCCTTGTGTCCAGGACCGGCTGGAGCCTTCTCGACGACGACATTTGTGACAATGTTGGCCTCCTGCCCATATCGACAACGCGCGCGTTCCGGTTGGAACAGCACTTGCGCCGATGTTTATGGTGTCCATCGATGATGTAGCAGTCGCACGTACTGCTGCCAGGCACCGGCTTGAGGCAGCGCGACGCGTGCTCTCCCGCCCAAAATGCGGTGAAGCGGGACAGCAGGCACTCGGGCTTGAGGCAGCCACTCGCATCTCGACCTTGGCACTGCTCGAGCAAAGTCGCATCGAGCTGCTCGTCGGATGTGAAGCCCAGCGGCTCGAATGGTAGCGGCTCCCCCGCCCGCGACGCATTCTCGTCGCGCCAGCGCAGGAGCGACCACGCTAACCAGGTGTGCCCGAGGCGTCGCCGCATCGTATGGGCGAGATCCTTTGACTCGCCGCACCGCATTGCCCACTCGTGACAGAAGGTCTCGAAGCCGGTGTGAGAATGCACCATCTGTGCCGACAACCTGTCGAGCAGCGAATTCTCGAACACGGTGCTCTGGGAAAGCTGGATCCAGCGGCGTGAGGATGCAGTCGCCCCTGGGTAGGGCACCTGCTTGCCAGCTGGGATGCGCGTGCCGCCCTCAGCGTACGACATGCTGTGCCACGCGGAGCACCGAGGGCAGGAGAGGCCATTGAGCTCGCCCTTCAGTCGCCCGTGCTCCGCATAGACCGTTGGAGATGAGCATTTGTCAGCCCGCTTGACCACCAGGGGTACCGCCTCCCCAGCGAGGCCACACGCCACGCAGTGCTCCACGTCCGGCACGAGCCGAACGGTCTTGCGGCTCGGGTCGTCGCGAAGCTGGGAGGCAAGCCGATCGACAATGGGCAGCTTGCTTGGCAGATACCGCACCGCAGGAGCGGAGAGGCCTGCCGGCATCTCCCCAGCAATACGCTCAGCGCGTAAGGGCGTCCCAGGTGGGTAGAGGTTGAGCGCAACCACGAAGCTGATGAAATCCTCCGCCGAGTTGATTGGGTGGAGCTCCTGCGCGAAGGCACTTGCGCCATCCTTGATGTGTTCGAGCTCGTTGAGACCGAGATCGTCGAGCCAGCTCGCCATCGGGGACCGAAAAAGCAGATCCCAGATAACACATCCCGTCACGGCGCAATGTTCTTCTCTCTGTGTGATTTCGTGCTCGATACCCCCGGGTTCGGACGGGGGTACACCTGTTCATTGGCCGGAATGAGCTCATTAGGACGAAGCGGGAGATGTCTTCACACCGCAGAAACCAGACCCACAGGCAGATCCCACGGGAAATCGAGGCGGGTGTCCCAGAAAACAGATCCCAGAAAAAACAGAGCGCGCGGCAGAAACCGACCGACCCCTGGGTTTTCGGCTATGGGAAACCGCGATGGGAAACCGCAGCAGAAACCCTATGGGAAACCGAGGTCTGGTGTCTGCTTTATCCAGGAATGGTACGCGTATTCTTGGTACCAGATCCGTGACACACGTACACATGCACTCTCTACTATCACAAAATTGCACCACCGCACGCGGGAGCAGCTCAGGGCAGGGACGCCTGCAACCGGACCGCCACCGGACCCACACCGCGCTGCACCACGCTCTCGCTCGGTCTCGCCTCTCGGACATGCGATGCTCAAACGGACATACTCTTGTACTCTCGATGTGCGCCCAACCCACCCCGCGCGCCCCGGCGCCGCCGCCAAATGCTATCGAGCGCCGAACCTCAACCTTTTCTCTGTCGAGGGCAGCAGCAGGGGCTCCGACTTTGGGAGGACGGCCTTCGGCACCTGCTGCAGCAGCTTGAAGATGCCGGTGCCGAGCGGGATCGGGATGCCGAGGATGATACACTCGGAGACGCCGCGGATGGCGTCGGTGCGCGAGTGGACCGCCGCCTCGAAGAGGTGGTCCGTCGTCTTCTCGAAGGAGGCGAGCATGAGCACCGACTGCTTCATCTTCGGCACGCCGAAGCGCGTGATGCCGAGCACCTCTCCGCGGAAGCACATGACATCGGCGAGCAGCGTGACGTGCCGGCAGTCGATCTCCATCCCGTGCTGCCCCATCGTGTACTGGATCTCGTCCATGATGGTCTGCCGCGCCGCCTCGATGCCGAGCGTCTTCTCGACCTCGGCGATGTGCGTCGATCGCGTCGCGCCGCCGCGCACGCCGCGCACGCCGAGGACGTCCCTCAGCCCGGCGCCCTCGACGAGCAGCTTGTAGCAGGGGCCGCCGCTCGCCTTCTCCACCTCGCTCTTCTCGCCCTCCTCCTTCTGCGTGATGACGGCGCGCGTCACCTCCTTGATGCCGCACACCAGCACTGTCAGCAGCATCCCGCGCAGCCGGTGCAGCTCGGGGAGGGCGAGGTGCTCGCGGCTGACGCGCGCCGGGTGCACGCGCACCTGCGAGACACCGGCCGAGGGTGCAGCCGAGGCGCGGGTGTAGCCGAGAGGCCGCTGCGCGCGCACACCTCCGCCGAGGAGCGCACGCGCACGTCATTCTCGTGCAGCTTCATCTTCGGCGCGGCGAGGATGGAGGTGCGGACGGAGGCGACGGTGACGGCGAGGTGGAGCCGCTCGATGAGGGCGAGGTCGAGCTTGACCGAGATGTAGCACTCCACCAGGTCGTACACCTCGACGACGGACTCGCAGATCTGGCCGAGCTCGGTCCGCTCCATCCGCCCCTTGACCACGCGCGCGGCGGTCAGGTCGAACGGCTTGTCGAGCTCGGCCTTGATGATCGGCGTCGAGATCTTCTTGGCGGCGTTGATGATCTCCTTGATGCGCGGCACGCCGAGTGTGATGTTCATCGAGGCGACGCCCGCAAAGTGGAACGTCTTGAGCGTCATCTGCGTGCCCGGCTCGCCGATCGACTGCGCGCCGACCGCTCCGACGGCGGTGCCGGGCTCCACCTTGCTCGCGAGGTACTTGCGCATGCACGCGCGCAGGAAGCTGTCGAAGACCTCCCCCGTCAGCACGTCACCCCCGCTGGCCGGCGGCGCCGCCGCCGCCTCAACCTCCATGGGCGCCTCATCGACGGCAGCCTTGGCAGCCGCCGGCTCTGGCGCCGCCGGCTCGTCCTCGTCATCGCTGTCGAGGACGAGGCGGGCGGTGCGACGCTTCTTGGCGCCGCCGCCCTTGTCGGCGGCGGGCGAGAGCGGCGAGACCTTGGCCTTGCGCGGCGAGCTCTTTGCGCCGACGCCCACCTTGGTCGGCTCGAGGGCCGGAGGCGGGAGGGCGACTCCGTTAGCCGGTGCGCCTGGCAGCGACGGCAGGAGCTTGCTCGCGACGAAGGCGCGCAGCTCGACCTCGAACTTGGCCGGCTCGGAGGCAATGGTCCGCGAGACCACGCCGGTGAAGGCGGGCGAGGCGACGAAGGCCTCGAAGGAGGCCACCGCCTGCAGGGGAGAAGGGGGGAGGGGGGGGGGGGTTGGCAGGGCGAGCGAGGGGTCCGCGTGCTTCCCAGGCGCGGAGGAGCCTGCGCGAACGAGAGCGGCCCTGGCGTCGCCGTGGCGGCGGAGGACGAGGCGGCGGCGGAGGACGAGGCGGCGGCGGAGGAGGCGGCGGAGGAGGAGGCGGCGGCGCCGTCGCGAGGCTTGGCAGCCGCGAGCTTGACGAGAGCGCGCTGGTGGAGGAGCGTCCGCTCGAAGTTGACTGGACGGCCATCCTTGTCCTCCATCATCGCCGGGTCGAGCTCGTCGTCGCCGTAGTGGAACTGGACGAGGTTGGCCTCCGAGTTGCGGACCGAGCCGTCGTAGCTCACCGTCAGGTCCTCGAGGGCCTGAGGCGAGGGGCGGGAAGAGAGTGAGCACCGCGGCCGGCTGGAGTGGCTGGCAGGGGCGAGCGGGCGGGCAGGGCAGCGGCGGCGGCGCGCCTTCATCAGCCGGCGCTGCATGTATCCCGTCTCTGCGGTCTTGACGGCGGTGTCGACCAGCCCCTCGCGGCCTCCCATCGTGTGGAAGAAGAACTCGGTCGGCGCGAGGCCGGTGTAGAATGAGTTTGCGACGAAGCCCTTGTCGGGCGGGGCGCGCGAGTGGCGCGGGAAGTGCGGCAGCGCGCGGTGGATGAAGCCGTTGGGCATGCGGCGGCCGCCGACGGACTGCTGGCCGACGCAGGCGATCATCTGCGAGATGTTGATCGACGAGCCTGCTCACGGGCGGGGCGGGTGGAAAGGCGCGCGCGGCCGGCCGCGAGCGGCGTGTGAAGGGCCCTTGGAGCCGCACGTGGCCATCGTGAGAGGCGCGTTGAGCCGGTGCAGCTCGCGCTTGCAGATCTCGCCCGCGTCGTCACGGATGCGCGAGAGGAGGCCGTTGATCTCGCTCTCGAGCGTCTGCTCCGCGGTGCAGCCCGGCGCGGGCGTGAGCTGCCCCGACTCGAACTCGCGGATCTTGCCGCTGCAAGCCTCGTACCCCGAGGCGAGCAGCTTCGCCTTGGCCTCGGTAAGGCGCGGCGTCGGCTGCACGTCCTGCACGCCGATCGAGAAGCCGTAGTCGGCCAAGAAGCGCGACGTGACGCGCGCGAGCCGCTCCATCGCCTGCGCCGCCGCGATCTCGGAGTTTTCGCGCAGCAGCACGGAGAGGAGGGACGCCTTGTTGCCGCCTCCGATCTGCGACTTGTCGAGCGAGCCGCAGAGGTGCTCCGAGTTCTGAAAGACGACCCAGCCGTCGGCGGGGCACATGGCCTCGGGCTCTGGCTTCTGGCGGAGCGGGTTGTACGACTTGTTCTTGGTCTCGAGGTTGGCGAAGACGGCCGAGGCGCGCGAGGGGCGCAGCATGCAGGTGAAGAGCTGCTTGCCCGTCCAGAGCTCGACCGGCTTGAGGATCGCGGGCGGGGGCAGCTCGATCGGCTCGGCCGCGTCCGACATGTAGGCGACCAGCCTCGTGAAGCCGTCGCGCGGGAAGAACATGCCTTGCTTGGACATGAGGTACGCGCCTAGGGTCAGGGTTGGGGTTGGGGTTAGGAGTAGGGAAGAGAATGCCTTGCTTGGACGTGCGGTGCGCGCCGGTGATGAAGTCCTGCGTCGCGGCGATGACCATCTCGCCGTTGCGCGGAGTGACGAGGTTCGCGTGCACGCCCATCAGGCAGAGCGCCTCGGCGCGCGCCTCCTCCGTCTGCGGCAAGTGCAGGTTCATCTCGTCGCCGTCGAAATCGGCGTTGTACGGCGCGCAGACGCACTCGTTGAAGCGGAAGGTGCGCCTGGTCGCCAGAGCCCGAGTCACGCGCTCTTCACAGCACCACTCGCCGGCCGGGGAGAAGGCGCGCCACGGCACGTAGGGAGAGATGAGGGAGATATGGGGAGATATGATCTCGGAGGGCGCGCCACGGCACGACGCGCGCGCGGTGCGCCATGATGGAGAGCTTGTGCAGCGACGGCTGGCGGTTGAAGAGGACGACGTCGCCTACCTCTCGTGGACTGCTGGTCAAGTGCGAACCTCCACACCGCCGCCGGGGGAGGAGGGCGGCGACGCCGTTGGTGAGGTGCCGCTCGACCACGTCACCCACCTTGAGCTCCGCTGCGACGCGCCGCCGGTCGCCGAACTTGAGCGAGCGCTTGCCCGCCTCGGTCTCGACGTAGTTTGCGCCCGGCCAGAGGTTGGGCCCGTTGACGACGAGCTTGCGCATGAGGGAGAGGTTGTGGGCGTGGACTCGCTCTGGGTAGGTGAGCACGCGCGCCACGCGGTCCGGCACGCCGACCTGCGGGAGGGGGGGGGGGGGGGAGGCAGCCGCGGGACGGCGTCACGGCGGGACAGCACCACGGGACGGCGCCACGGGACTGGACACGCGCGCGGCGAGCCAACCTCGTCGATCGCGAGGTTCGGGTCGGGGGAGATGACGGTGCGGCCCGAAAAGTCGACGCGCTTGCCGGACAGATTCCCTCGGAAGCGGCCTAGGGTTGGGGTTAGGGTTAGGGTTAGGGTTAGGGTTAGCTTGCCGGACAGGGTCCCTCGGAAGCGGTTCCCTGCTTCCCCTTGAGCCGCTGGGCGTAGGCCCTGATCGGCCGCTTCTCGGCCTGCCAGTCGGGCCGCACGCCGGGCACGTTCGCCCCGTTGATGTACATGGCCACCTGCAGCTGCAGGTAGTCCCAGTCCTCCATCAGCATCGCCACCGTCGCCTTTC